TTCCAAAGCGACTCACAAAAAGAAAGACCTCATTTCCTGAATTCCTCGACCATCTCTGTGTAACATATATTCCTGCTTTATACAATTTTCTTTAGCATTCCTGAAATACTGCAGTATATTGTCAGCTACAAGATCTACAGTATTGTCTGTATAGCACTTTTTTGATGCATTGAAGTATGTTTCTTGAATTAGAGTGCAACTCTTCTACAAAGCTGATTTCTGATAGTTCTTGAACAGTGGGTTACAACAACATCTTGGACTCACATAACCACAGTCTTCCCACCACATTCACAGAATCACAGAATCACAGAATTGTAGGGATTGGAAGTCCAACCCCCCTGCAGAACAGACTCTCTTCACCAGGGTGCACAGGTAGACATACAGACAGGTCTTGAATATCTCCAGAGGATGAGGGTCCACAACCTCCCTTGGCAACCTGTAGTCCTAACAGAGCTAGACATCCAGATTTTATTTACTCAGGACAAACCTAAATATTTACTTCTAGTGTGCCACTAGACCAGGTTACCCAAAGCCCCATCAAACCTGGCCTTGAACGCCTCCACAAATGAGACATCCACAGCTTCATAGGGCAGCCTGTTCCATTGTCTCACTGTCCTCAGAGTAGAGAATTTCTTTCTTCTGTCTAATCTAAATCTACCCTCTTTCAGTTTAAAATCAAACCCTTACCTCTTATTCTATCACTGCATGTCCTTGTATCACTACATGCCCATTTCTATCTTTTCTAGTTATTCCATGCATTTTAGACATTAAAAAAAATATATATATATTGTTAGTAACTTGTTAATAATATGAAGAAAGGACTGAAAATTTACTGTCTGCATTTTAAAAAAATGATTCTCTGTTTGATCAGATTTAATGATAATGTTTTTTTTAAAAGCAGAAAGAAAAAGAAGATGACTGTTGAAAAGTGCTCTTCCAAAAAGTCTCCTGCTGAATAAAAACAACTTAAGATTTTACTTTAGATACTCAGGATTTCTAGAACTTCTGGTGAAAAATGAACAAATAGATAGAAATAAAATCTTCCCTTTCATGTGAGAAAATGTATTTTTGGTTATTCAGTCAGACTGTGTTTGAAAAATTGGATCTGTAATTTCAGAAAACAATAAAATTATGCTCCTGTCCATTCAGTAGTTATTTTTTAAATTCAGTTTGGTTTTGGTTTGTCTTTTTAAGAACAACTGTTATAGTTACTAGGGCTTTATGATGTGTTATAGTGCACTGCACGTTTCTCTGCTGGCTATCCCTCTTATGATGCAGCCTAGGATTCTATTGGCCTTCTAGGCTGCAAGTACACACTGCTGACTCATGTCCAGCATTTTGTCCATTAAGACCCCAAATCTGTCTTTGCAGGATTCTCAGTGAGTTCTCACAGTCTGTACTTGTATTTGGTATTGCCTTGACCCAAGTGCAACCTTGGACTTGGTGTTGTTGAACATCGTTAGGTTCTTGCATTTCCAGGTCCCTTTGGATGATGTCACTTCCTTCTATTGTGTCAGCTGCACAATTAGCTTGGTGTCATCAGCAAACTGGCTGAGGATACACTCAATCCCACTGTCTGTGTCATTGATAAAGATGTTGAAAGGCACCGATCCCAACACAAACCCCTTGGGGACACCACTTGTGACCAACCTTCTCCTGCATGTAGAACCATTGACAACAATCCTCTGGCTATGGTCATCCAACCAGTTCATTATCCACCTAATAGTCCAGCCTTCAAATTCACATCTCTCCAATTTAGAGATAAGGATGTGCTGTGGGACCATGTGAAAGGCCTTGCAGAAATCCAGGTAGTCAACATAAGTTACCTTGCCTTTGTACATCAGTGCCATCACTCCATCATAGAAGGCCACCAGATTGGTCAGGAATGATCTGTCCTTGATGAAGCCATGGTGGCTCTCTTGGATTACCTCCTCATCTGACATGTGGCTTAATGTATCTTCCAAGAGAATCTGCTCCATGACCTTCTAAAGCACAAGTGTGAGGCTCACTGGCCTGTACTTCCCTGGGTCTTCCTTTCCCCGTGTTTCCCTTTTTCTAGTCAATGAGAACTTCACCTGACAGTCACAGTTTTTCAAATATGATGGAGAGTGACTTGGCAACCTCATCAGCTGATTCCTTCAGAACTCTGGGATGCATGTCATTGAGTCTCATGGACTTGTACACATTCAGCCTCATGAGGTGGTCTTGGACTTGCTCTACTCTTACACAGGGAATGATTTTGCTCTCCTGACTCCCACTTAGAAATTCAGGGACACAAGAGGTACAGGGAGCCTAACTGCCAGCGATGACTGATGCAAATAACTCATTAAATATCTCATCCTTCTCCATGTCAGGAAGGCAGCTCTCTCTTTTTAATTTATCAGAGGAGGTACATTCTCTTCTGCTTGTCTCT